TGTTAAATACTAGTGGTGAGAGTGAGCATCCTTGTCTTGTTCCTGTTCTTAGAGCAAAATCTTTCAACTTTTCCCCATTCAGGATGATGTTATCGTATATGGCCTTTATTGTGTTGAGATACTTTTCTTCTGTAGCTAATTTATTGGCAATTTTTATCATAAAGCAATTTTGAGTTTTATTGAATGCTTTTTTTGCATCTACTGAGATGATCATATGGTTTTTGTCTTTCATTTTGTTGATATGGTGTATCACATTTATTGATTTGCATATGTTGGATTATCCTTGCATCCCTCTTATGAATCCCACTTAATCACAGTGCATAATATTTTTGGTGTGCTGTTGAATTGTGATTGCTAGTATTTTGTTTAGAATTTTTGTATCTGTGTTTATCATGGATATTGGCCTGTAGTTTTCTTTTTTTGTTGTGTCTTGTCTGATTCTGGTATCAGGGTGATGCTGGCCTCATAGAATGAGTTTGGGAGAATACCCTCTGCTTCAATTTTTTGGAATAGTTTGAGAAGAATTCTCAGTTATTCTTTAAATGTTTGGCAGAATTCAGCAGTGAAGCCATTTGGTCCTGGGCTTTTCTTTGTTGGTAGACTGCTGATTATCGAATACAGTCTCATTGCTCATTATTGGTCTGTTCATATTTTCTGTTTCTTCTTGGTTCGGTCTTGGTAGGTTGTAGGTATCCAGCAATTTATCCATTTCCTCCAGATTTTCAAATTTGTTGGTGTATAGTTGTTCATAGGAGTCTCTGATGATTCTTTGTATTTCTGTGGTTTCAGTTGTAATGTCTCCTTTTTCATTTCTGATTTTCATTATTTGGGACTTCTCTTTTTTTCTTAGTCTAGGTAATGGTTTGTCAATTTTGTTTATCTTAAAAAACCAACTTTTTGTTTCATCAATCTTTTGTATCTTCTTTTCCTTTGGCCTCTATTTCATTTAGTTCTGCTCTGATTTTTATTTCTTTCCATCTACTAATTTTGGGGTTGGATTGTTCTTGCTTTTCTGTTTCCTTGAGGTGTAACATTAGGTTGTTTATTTGAAATCTTTCTACTTTTTTGATGTGAGCACTTGTTGTAATAAACTTTCCTACTTTGCACTATCCCATAGGTTTAGGTAAATTGTGCTGTATTTTCATTTGTTTCAAGGAGTGTTCTGATTTCCTGCTTTTCTTTGACCCATTGGTCGTTCGGGAGCATGTTGTTTAATTTCCATGTATTTGTATAATTTCCAAAGTTTTGTTTGTTATTGATTTTTAGTTTTATTCCATTGTGGTCTGAAAAGATACTTGATATGATTTCTAGTTTTTAAAAATTTGTTGAGACTTGATTTGTAGCCTAATATGTGATCTAACCTAGAGAATGATCCATGTGCTGATGAGAAGAATGTATATTCTGCAGTTGTTGAATGAAACAGTCTGTAAATGTCTGTCAAGTTTATTTGATCCACAGTGCAGTTTAAATCCAATGTTTCTTTGCTGTTTTGTTTGTTCATTTGTTTTGATTTTTTGTCTAGATGATCTGTCCAATCCTGAGAGAGGCTTATTGAAGTCTTCAACTTTTATCGTATTAGAGGGTCCATCCTTCCCTTTAGATCTAATAATATTTGATTTATATATCTGGGTGCTCTGATGTTGGGTGCAGATATATTTACAATTGCATCCTCTTGCTGAATTGATTCCTTTATCATTATATAATGTCCTTCTTTGTCTCTTTTTATAAGTTTTGTTTTAAAGTCTATTTTATCCAATATAGGTATAGCTGCTCCTGTTCATTTTTGGTTTTCATTTGCATAGAATATCTTTTTTCATTCTTTCGCTATTACTGTATGTGTATCTTTACAGGTGAAGTAAGCTTCTCATAGCAACATATAGTTGGGTCTAGTGTTTTAATATACTCAGCTCATTTAGCCAGTATATATCTTTTAAATGTGGAATTTAATCCATTTACATTCAAGGTTGTTATTGAAAGGTATTGTCTTATTCCTGACATCTTATTAATTTTTTTGTTTGTTTTGTATATCTTTTGTTCCTTTCTTTCTCTTTTATTTTGTCTTTACTGTTTGGTTTTTTGTAGTGATGAGATAGTTTTTTTTCCTCTTTATATATTTGCTCTAGCAGTAAGTTTTATTCTTTCATGTGTTATCATGAGGTAGTTATTGTTCTTTTGCTTCCAGATGTAGGACTCCCTTAAGGATTTTTTGTAGGGCCAGTTGTATAGTGGTGAATTCCTGCAGTTTTTGTTTGTCTGGGAAATACACTACTTCTCCTTAATTTCTGAAGGATAGTTTTGGTGGGTATATTATTTTTCATTGACAGTTTTTTTCTTTCAGCAATTCGAATATATCATCCCATTCTCTCCTGGCCTATAAGGTTTCTGCTGAGAAATCTGCTGTTAGTCTAATGGGGATTCCCTTATAGGTGACTTGACCCTTTTCTCTCGCTGTTTTTAGAATTCTGTCTTTATCTTTGACTCTTGACTACTGTGTGTCTTGGAGAAAACCTTTCTGGGTTAAATCTGTTTGGTATCTTTGAGCCTCTTGGATCTGGAAGTTCATGTCACCCAATACTTGGGAAGTTTTTAGCTATTATTTTGTTAAATAGGTTTTGGATGCCTTTTCTCTTTCTTACCCTTCCAGAACACCTATAATGTGGATGTTTATAAACTTAACGTTGTCCCTTAGATCTTGTAGGCTTTATTTTTTAAAATTCTTTTTCTTTTCCTTTTGTTATTTCACAAAGCTTGTCTTCGAGGTCAGCAATTTTTTTTCTGCTTGATCTAGCCTGTTGCTTATAAGCTCTCAGTTGTACTTTGTATTTTTTATTTTGTTGAATGAATTTTTCAGTTCCAAGATTTCTGCTTAGCTTTTTTTTTTTTTATGATATCTAGCTCTTTGTTAGATTTCTTCTTCATATCCTGAATTGTTTTTCTCATCTCATTGTGTTGTCTATCTGTATCTTCTTACATCTCACTGAGTTTCCTTAATATTATAATTTGGAATTCTTTTTCCTGCATTGCCTAGGTATCCTTTTATTTGGAGTTCTAGTATTGGAGAATTATTGTATTCCTTTGGTGGTGTCATGTTTTTTCATGTTTCTTGTCTCTATGTTGATGTCTGGGCATCTGGTGGAATGGTCACTTCTTCTAGTACTCTGAAGTAGCTTTTGAAGGAAGAGACTCTTTCCTGTAAATGTGTTGTATAGTGACAGATTGGTAGGTGTTTTAGGTTTGGTTCTGGGTGAATGCACTAGTGTAGTTTCCATGTGATTTGTTTGGCTGTATTCAACATTGGAGTTGTCTGTGAGTGCCTCTCTGTCCTAAATGCTGAGGCATTTGGCAGATCCTTGCTGAATTGGGTGACACTGGGTTAGGTCACAGGGGTCATAGATGAGGTCTTGGGCTCTTGGGAGAAGCATTGGGGTGCCCTGTTGCTCCTCAGCTGGAGTGAGTCACTGTGAGCAGGCTCATTGGTGCCCTGGCCAGGATCCTGTTCCCCTGTTAGATTCACTGGGGTCCTCTATAGCTCCTCTGCTTAAATTGGTTACCTTGGGTGGGATTGCTGAGGTCCAGATTAGGACCTTGGACTTTAAAGGAGAAACGAGGTGCTCAGCAACTCCTCAGCTGAAGTGGGAGACTCTGGGTGGGGTCTCTGGTGCTATGGCTGAGCCCTGTATCCCCAAAGGAAGCATTGCAGTGCTCTGAAGCTCCTCAACTAAAGTGGGCAACATTGGGCAATGTCACTGGAGTCATGGGCAGGACCCTTTGCCCACCCACGAGTGATGTTGGGTCTTTCTGCTGCTCCTTGGCTGCAGAGTACCACTCTGGGTAAGGGTAAAGTTGTTGTAGTTGTTGGTGGGACACTGCACCCCCGGGAGAGATGCTAGGGCTCTCTGCACCTCCTTAGCTGAAGTGGGTCACTCTGGGCGAGGCTGCTGCAGTCATAGTTAGACCCTTGTGCCCTCAAGAGAAACAGTAGGTCACTTTGCAACTCCTCAGCTGGGATGGGCTGCCCCATGCAAAATTTCTGGGGTTGTGGGTGGGGCCCCGAGCCCCAAGAGAGGTGCTGAGTCCCTCTGCACCTCCCCTGTGAGAGCTGTGTGGCTGGTCCACTGAAGAGACCAGGGCCACCGGCAGTGGCAGGAGGCCCTGACTGGTAGGTTCTCTGGCTCTGGAAAGCACACACAGACTAGCTCTGTCCTGAGAGTGACCTCCAAACTGTACCCTGTTCCTAGGGTACAGGATGCTGCGTGGGCTCAGAGTGCCAGAGACTTGGCATAAAGAGGGGGCCTCAGGGCTGTGGAGATCCTGGGGCTGTCAGGTCCCAGGACAAAATACACTTACTTGGGTGTTGGCTCTGATCCTAAAATGGTGACGTGCTGCCGCAGCCACGACCCTGGGTTTGTGGGGCTCAGTGTGAACACCCTCCCTGGACTGATGCAGTCATGTGGGTTCCCAGCATCTCCCCACATGGCTCACAGCCTGTAAGGGCTGCATAGCTTTCTTGTAGCTTGGATTGCAGGTGTCCTCAGTGCAGCTCATGCTTACCTTTTCCTGCAGGCAGAAATTCCTCCTGGGTTCTTCAGCTCCTGGCTGGGGAGTGGAGGGGTGGAGGCTGGGAATTTTCTTCCATTCTCTATGTGGTTGTCCTAAGATTCTGTGCTCACTAGCATTTCTGTTACCCCTTTGATGTGCTCCAGCGTTCTCCTTTACTTATTTTTGTCCAATTGTAGTCATGCATTCTTTGTTTTATCTGTCTATGGGAGAGATGGGCAGTGGTAGAATCTTCTAGTTGGCCATCTTGCTCTGCCCCTGATACTGATATTTTTGAAGCATATGGTATGGCTAGTTATTTTATGGACTGTCTCACAATTTGGATTCATTTCAATTTCCTTGTTGTTATACGTAGGCCGTGCATTTTTAGCTGGAAACTACTGCCTAGTCTATACCTCATTTAAGAAAAAAAAAAAAAATGATGTGTCCTTGTGTCCAACCAGGGAGGTCTCATGACCAGCTGGCCCCTGGTGCCTCCTGCCATGAAGGAAGAGGAAAGCAGTGAGGAGGAGCCCGCAGCAGCTACCACCTCTAAGGAGCAGGAGGCTGCCTCTGCAGAGTTGGATGGACCGCGAACACCAGAGCCCTTGGAGGAATTCCCCAAGCGTGAAGAGCAGGAGGGCTCCCCTGCCGAGACGAGCCTGCCCTACAAGTGGGTGGTGGAGGCAGCAAACCTCCTCATCCCTGCTGTGGGGTCCAGCCTCTCTGAAGCCCTGGACTTGATTGAGTCGGTATGTTGGTCACAGCACTTCACAGTGGGCACAGAGCATCCACCAGCAGGGAGCGCTTCTCTGTGGGGCCTGCATGCTTCCACTCACTCCATCATCCTGCTAACATTTACTGACCCGATGCTGAGTGCCTGGCCCTGAGCCAGGGCCTGGGGACACCAAGATAGTCACCATACAGTGTCTGCCCTTGGGGAGCTCCCAGCGTGAGTGGCAGGGGGGGCGCAGAGTGGCACCTGACCCATATACACGGTATGGGGTTGGGAGGAAAGGCTTCCCAGAGGAGGTGACACTACACTGAGTCCTCAGGGATCACTGGCAGGTAACAGTACGGGACAGCGTGGTATCTGTGGCACCACACATGGTTGGTTTCCCTGGAGAGGGATCCAGGATGTGCTGGGGTTGAGGGCTGGGTCTGGAGTGGCGAGTGGACTCAAGTCACTCAGGGTGGAGCAGCTTCTGAGGGCATGCTGTGCTTACCATGCTGGCTGTGGGCTGTGCTCCTTTGGAAAGAGCTCACAGCTTGTCACAACAGCCCAACTCCTTGCTGCATCAGCCAGGCCTGCAGTGTGGAGCAGATTTCAGGAGGTGATGGATAAGAAGTCTGGTCACCAAAGGCAGGGGAGCTCAGTGTGAGGCACCCTCATTTTCCTTCCCACTTGGGCGTCCCCTCTCCTTGCTGAGAGTAGTGATCCTGTTTATTGAACATGTACCAAATGCCAGGCTCTGAGCTTAATGTATAGTCCACATGATATTGCATGAGGTGTGTCCTTTCTCTGTTAGATGAGACTGAAACTCAGAGAGGTCAAGTAGTGCACCCAAGGTTGCACTGCAAGTAAGCTTGGTGGGCTCAACTATCATGCTATGCCCCCTCTTCTGCCTGATGAGGGGTTGTATGGAGCCATCTCCAGGGGGATGATGATCTGCTCAGGCCCTCTCTCGGTCTCACCTCTTGGCCCCCATGGCTGGGGTTGGACCCAGGTGCAGGGTCCATCTGTGGGGCCCCTTCCACCTCCAGGGAATTTCAGAGGAGCTTGGGAGGCAGGTCTGGCGTGTTCATCAATTTTCAGCAGAGCTCTGAGGCTGCCACATGCCATCCGCCCTTTCTTTGGGCTCTAAGAAGGGTCGAGAGTAGAAGTGGGCCCATTCTGTCCCTGGCACTTCACAGGATTACCCCCTTCAGCCTCAGACTGTTCTGTATTTTCTTCCACTTGACAGGCACAGAGAAGGGGAGAGGAGGGAGCTCACTGTTATTGAGCACTCACTGTATACCAGGCCCAATGCTTATTTAGCAACCACAGTAGTTAACATTTGAGTGCCTGCTGCATGCCAGGGTTGTTACTTGCTACCTAACATGCATACCTAACCTTAGCTGGTCCTTAAACAAACCATGAAGTGGGTCGTGGGCTCATTACCAGTGAGGGAATCCCAAGCTCAGAGAGGCTAGGAGACTTGTCCAGTGTCACACAGCTGGTGACTGCCAGGGCCAGAAGTCAGACCCTCCTGTCTGGCTCAGAGCCCAGGCTCTTTCTTCCATTACCTTCAGCAAGAGTCCCTACAGCATTTGCAGAATCCTGCTGTCCCTCCCCTGCAGCACTGCTCTACACAGTCCTTGTAGGATGTTCTTTTGTCCTATTAGACACCAGTAGTTCTGGGGCCTCCCTTAGGTTGGGAGTATCGGCCTGAGGTCAGCCTTGCCCCGAATTGGCCTCTACCCACAGGAGTGAATGGCCTCAGGCTCCCATAAGTCCTAGGGACCAGAAATGATCACTACGGTCTCAGTCTACTCAGGGCCAGACCTCCAGGGATCAAAGTGGAACCCTCTGTCTCCAGAAGCCTTTTGGCATGCATTGTAATATATTTGGTAAAGGTGGGAAGACCTGGCGGAGACTCTCAGGTTTGTTCTTAGAAGCTTAGTGACCTCGGGCAGATTCCCCTCTCTCAAGCCCAGGGTCCCAGGTATGAAAGTGGGGAAAGTAATGCTTCCCTGGCAGGGTTGTGGTGGAGCTTGTAAACCATTTCTGTGAAATGCCCTGAGGAGGCACCTAGGATGGGCAGGCATCCCATCCACTGCTCTGTATTGTGATCTCTAAAAATATCTATAAAAATATAGTTACATGACATAGAAAGTCTTTGAGGAAATGCATGAAAATGTTAGTGATTGGTCCTGGGCTGTGGGGTCATACTTGACACTTGTGTATTTTCCTTTAATGAGTGAATCCCATTGTGTTAAAAGCAGAGTAACTGCAGTTCTTCTTAACCTCCCTGTTGGGTAGGATCCCGATGCTTGGTGTGACCTGAGTAAATTTGACCTCCCGGAGGAGCCGTCCATGGAGGGCAGCATCAGCAGTAGCCTGGTGCAGCCCCAAACATCACATCAGCAGCAGGCCCTGCCGCCCCACCAGCCAGCTGCCCTGGTGCCCAGTGTGACCGAGTACCGCCTGGACGGCCACACCATCTCAGACCTGAGCCGGAGCAGCCGGGGCGAGCTGATCCCTATATCCCCCAACACTGAAGTTGGGGGCTTGGGCATCAGTACGCCACCCTCTGTGCTCAAGCGGCAGAAGAAGAGGCGTGTGGCTCTATCCCCTGTCACAGAGAACAGCACCAGCCTGTCCTTCCTGGACTCCTGTAACAGCCTCACCCCCAAGAGCACACCTGTCAAGACCCTGCCCTTCTCGCCCTCCCAGGTGCGTGGACCCCACTCCAGCTGCTCGTTGGCTTTGGTTTGTAGACACCCAGTGCCCAGCACGGGGCCTGACACAGACGTGCACCATTCAGCCAGTATTCATTGAGCGCCTGCTGTGTACCAGGCCTTGTGCTCAGTGCTGGGGACATGGGGGTGAGCAAAAACAGACCTGGCCCTGCCCTCATGGAACTTACGCTCTGGTAGGAAGACGGGTTTACAAAAAAAAGACCCAAATAAATGTAAGTGGTGGGAAGGAGGCTTACGGTACTGCATATGCATCTAGTCTGGGATGGGTCCAGGAAGACCTCTATGAGGAGTAGGAGGAGGAATTGCCTGAGCTGAGAAAATAGTAGGTGATAACCGGGTAAAGAAGTGGGGAAGAGGCCTCAATCATATTTGTTAAAAGAATCCATTCATTGAACATGTGTGTCAGAGCAGATTGGCCAGCACTGGGGGAGGAAAGGTGAACATGCCACAGCCCCACTCTTGAACAGGATAGGCATTGCTGGGGGCACACTTCTCATGAATTAACCAGCCTGGAGTGTGGAGAGTGCCCTGGTGATAGCAGGTGCTCAGTCATTGGGAGCTTTCTGTGTCCTGGGCACTGCCTCGGGCTGTGTTCGTAACATGCACAGAGGAGATGGGGAGGGGCTCCAGGGTCTTTCCTAGAGGTCAGAGGAGGCCCTCAGGCTTCCTGGAGAGTGATGTCTGAGGTGATCTCTGTCACTTTGAGCAAAAACACAGACAGGGAGGACCACAGAGTGGAGGTGTGACGTCCAGAGCTAGGAGGGGTGGGGGTGGGGCAGGGGCCTGGGAGTGCCTTGGGTATAATCTGCCCTGGGGCTATGGGAGGATGGGATGGAGTGGTTGGGGTAGGTGGGTGCTGTAGCTCCCATGGCCCCAGATAGGAATGGGTGGGTGGAACTTTGAGTCTGCTCCTACTAAGGCTATGGGAGAAGGGCCCAGGGGGGCACTTTGCAGAAGCCACCCTGTCACCTGTCATGGAGGGATCGAGGCTCAGCCTAGGGTTGGGATGGTTAGTGGTGTTTCCGAGATGGACCCTCTATGAGTTTGCTCAGGCTGCCATGACAATGAACCAGACTGGCCAGATTAGACAACAGAAGTGTATTTCTCACAGTTGTGGAGACTAGAAGCCCAAGATCAAGGTGTCAGCAGCATTGGTTTCTTCTGGGCCTCTTTCCTTGGCTTGTAGATAGCCGCCTTCTCCCTGTGTCCTCACATGGTCCTCCTTTGTGTGTCTCTGTCCTAATCTCTTATCTTCTGTCTTACAGTCTCTTATTTAATAAACCTTTTTATATGGTGGGTGGCCAGTACCCTTGACCTTGGTGTTATCAGCACCACACTCTAACGAGGTCAACCAGCCCAATAAACTTCTTATAAGGACACTGGTTATTGGACTAAGGCCCACCCTAATGACCTCATTTTAACTTAATTACCTCTTTAAAGGTCCCATCTCCAAATACAGTCTCATTCTGAGGTGCTGGGTTGGGGCTTCAGCATGAATTTGACGTAATTCAGGCTCCAAGTGACATGCTCCAAGTGAAGGCTGTGGGCTGGAGAAGGACGACAGCAGAGCTTCAAGCTGCCCAAATAGCAGCCCGGGGTGATGGGCGTGGTGGCTGCCCTGTGCTAGAGACCAGTTTATGGGTGGCCTGAGGCTGCAGGTGGCTCTCCGGGCACCTTCAGGGCAGGGAGAAAGGAGAAGGGGGGGCTTCAGAGCATGGATGTCTGCTTACATGGATTTGAGTCTCACCTCTAACTCAGTACAAGAATCTACACCTCTCCAAATCTTTGCCTCTCCAGGTCAGTTGAGAGCTAGTTTTATCTCTTCTGAAAGAGCCACTCTTGCAGTCTACACTGTCAGCAGCATGTGAAGGTGGAGATGGCAAAAGCCAGGATCGGGGCAAAGATAAGCCCAGGGGTCTACATGAACCTACTTGGTGGCTCCTGTTGATCTGTCCCAGTCTTTGGCCTCTGGTGCTTGATAAGTCAGGAGCGTACCTCAGTGTCAGAGCAGACGTGTCAGGGGCTGGGGCCAGGGGTCTCTCCCCCTGCCCCCTGAGGACTCAAGAAGCCACATGCGGGTGATCATTTTGTCTTGATTCCTGTCTTTTCCCTGCAGTTTCTGAACTTCTGGAACAAACAGGACACACTGGAGCTGGAGAGCCCCTCGCTGACATCCACCCCCGTGTGTAGCCAGAAGGTGGTGGTCACCACGCCCCTGCACCGGGATAAGACACCCCTGCACCAGAAACACGCTGCGTGAGTGCTGCACTGCGGCGGGTCCTGGGACCACTGGTGGGGTGGTGGGGAGACTGTTTCAAGAGAACATTCTCCCTTTTGGCCACCACACCTCCTCATTTTCGTTCCTGTAGTCTGGTACTTCACCTTTGCTTTTGCTTTTCTTTAAAATTTTTCAATCTGATAGTTTTGTAATCTCAGGAACAGAGAGTCCAAAATGCACGAAAAACATAATCTCTTCCCCTTTTGTAAGTTTCCAGTGCAAATCCATTGTGTTTTAGTATCCCTTACATTCAGGACCTAAGTGTCCCTGGCACCCGCATCTCCCCGGTGCTCTGTCAGGGGTGGAGGCTGTGACCCTGTCTGCCCAGCGTACAGAGCACAGCACTTCCCATCCCGAAGCCTGTGCAGGTTGTTCAGAAGCCTGCGCAGGTTGCTCGCCAGCCTGCTTTTATGGAGCTGCTTAACTGTTCCTCTGCTTATTACTTTTGCTGCAGGAGAAGCATTGCTGTTATTTCCCGAGTGAATTACGTGACTCAGGAATCAGTTCGGGAATTTTAGTCCTTGTAATGATATGCGGTTGCACAAAAGATTTATGAATCCCATAGTCAGAAATCAGTCTCTAAACAGTTGATCTCAAGTATACCATAGATAGGTTTCATGAGAAATGGTTCTCCATTCAAACCAGAATCCTGGACTTAGCCCTTAAAACAGAGATGCTAGAACCACAGAAGGCATTGATATTGATACATAGCTATGTTTCATGAGAATTGGTTTTCCATTCGAGCTAGAATCCAGACTTTAAATCTCAGCCTTTAATGCTAGAACCACAAAAGGCATCGATACATTTTCTGCTCATCCCTGCTCCCCAACTCTTCCTCTATGTAAAGAAGTATTTTCCGTGTCCTTCATTCCTCTGTAGATCCGTGTTTCCCTCTGGTTCCTTCTCTCTGAAGGTCATCCTTTAACATTGTTTGTAGTGTAGGCCTGCTGGTGATAAATTCTTTCAGCTTTTGTATACCTGAAAAGTTGCCTTCATTTTTGAAAGACGTTTTTCCTGGGTGTAGTTCCTATCTTTCACTGCTTTAAAGATGTTGTTCTCCTGTCTTCTGGCTTGCACTGTTTTATCAGTTTGGAACAATTTGATTATAATATACTTTGGTGTGTTTTTCTTTGTTTCTTGTTTTTGGTGTTCATTGAGCTTTTTTGGATCAGTGGGTTTATAGTTTTCATCAAGTTTGGGGAAATTTCAGCCACTATTTCTTCAAAAATATTTTCTTAATTAGGATAATCTCCTTCAAAAAAACAGACAAAGAAAAAATGTTCTGGATCCTCCACCTCCCAGTCTTTCAGGGCACTCCACCCTTATATGTATATTAGACCACTTGAAATTATCCCACAGCTTACTGATGTTATTTTATTTTTGAGATTTCTTTCTCTGTTTCATTTTGGGTTTTTTTTTTTTTTTTTTTTTGTCCTTTTTGAG